GTCTCTGCGTGCGATGACTCGCCTTTGCAGCACAGCTCACATTGCTATTTTTAACGATAGTCATTACTTTGTTATTATGTGAGTGATAGAGAGAAAGAGAGACTATTCGAGAGGAAGTTCTTTCGGAGTGAAAAATAACTATTTTTCAAGATAGCAACTTTCAACCCTTCTCTTCACAAGCCCACTTGTAGTGGGACTGCTTTCTTGTCTAACATCAGATTTTCTTGAGAGTGACAGAACTTGAAACAGTTTTTTGTAGCTTATATTCACTAGAATTCTACCCAAGCAGAATGACAGTGTACAAGGTGGAAGCCTAAAATCACCCTATTGAACTGGGTAGTTGAGTTGTCCAATGAAGTATAAGAAGAGATTGAAATGCAACACCCAATAACATCGAGCTGTAGGCGTTGAAATATCAAGAGAATATTTATTCTGACCAACATAAAATAAGTAACAATTCATAGAAAAGCAAGCGCTTCTTGCGCGATGAAAGAGATTCGGCAGTTTAAAGAGGAAGGCGTAATTCGATAAGTAGTTATTGAGGCACTATTAACCACAAAAATATCAAGTTACACTGAAACATTGCCTTAGCACTCTTATTTGTAGAACAGAAAAAAGCCTGCTTTGGCACAAAGTGACAATTTTGTGTGTGGACCCGATCAAATACCAGGGCGGCGCGTTAATCACAGGAAAACGATATATGCAGATGGAATAACAATGGGGAAGACGAAAAGAAAACTTTGTTCTCGTAATTGGCGAAAATCTTCAGAAATTATTGAGCATGCATCATTCACTGACTTTGGGCTGGACGATCAACGTAGACCGTGCGAACTCGGCCAGCTCGTCTCGTGGTCAGAATTTCTCTTCCATCCTGAAAATAAATTGTGAATTTTTGACAGTTCTGACTAAGCCTCAAGAAGAACACATACCGCTTTCTTGATACAGTATCCAATAGGTACCCAAACAGCAACGGATAGGAATACGATTATAGCAACAATATTAGACTGGATGATGGGCCCTAAATATTTTTTT